AAAAGAAAACAGAGTGCCTGCATTCAAGTTCCAGAATGTGATTAGCAAACAAGCCGAAGTAGAGAATTGCGGTCACTACAGTGTCAACTTGCTTCCAAGTCTCATGTATATGTATTTCGTTTTTGGTCCTATTTATAAAATGGAGATAAAAAGCCTGGAGACAATTTGTACCCAATCTTCACTATCATTTTCATTTCTATTATCGTCAATGGCATGTATAGTGGGAAGCATCAGAGTTGAATCTATGAGAGCGAGTGCTGGAATATGTAGATATTGAATCACGAACGAACAATCATCTGTGTAAAAAATAAAAATGTATAATTAAACGTGTTATGCATGAGTTCCTAATAATTATAGCCGCTTTGTAAGATAAAATTAATGGGCAATGTGTTTGTTTTTTTCTTGTAACTGTAACCTGAAGTTCTTGCGAATAAATGATGATACACGGAATGTTATTCCATGATGGCGCGGTTATGAGACGGACAATAATCGCAGGGTTGTAATTTTTGGCTCAGTTGTTGGCAAAGTTTCTCTTCTGACCATGTTACTCAACCTCTCGCATCTCTCTCACTTTCCTGTCTCATCATCTGTCAATTACCTCACAAGCTACAATCTCCTTTACCTAACAGATAACTTTAAAAATCTCTCCGACTATTATATATATAGCAACTGCTGTTTTTGTTTCTTCTAGCTGCTGCTTCACGTGCAAAGTGCTCAGTTCATGGGATGTGCCTCGTATAAATATCTCACATTTTATATATGTTTTTGTAAATCCACCTCTCCAGACTATTATATGTCATAATCAAAGGCAATATTTTGGATATTCGATGGGGATGAAAAGGGAAAAGGGGGAGGGGTAACAGCCGTCAGTTGTTTTGTTTTTAAATTTGTGAAGGTCGCCCAGCTTTAGAGTTTCATATGTGAAAGCGTTTTGGCAAAGTCAAAGTTTGGAAGCTTAATGAGTTCATTGATTGCTGGCTACCAAATCCTGGTTTTAGCTGGGGGATTCGATCTTGTCTTTATGTAGCCCCATGGTGAGTGCTTCAGGGAAATGTGCGACTGATGAAGCTACCAGTGTCACCACAATAAAGGCCGATATAATATATACTCCATATGATTAAGCCACCCGTCGTCATAGAATTTGGCAGCTTCTCGATGGGTTTTCCTTTTCTTTTACTTTTTAACACAATGCCATCTCCAACTCTCTTGACCTCCACACGATCAAATCAAACAGATGCCAATGTCACGTAGTTAACAAATCATATCAAAATGGCACTAACGCGAGCCTTTATTTACCGGTTCATTATGTTGTATTCCTGGCCGATCTTGATTGTGTAAAGCTTTTTATGTGCCTAATTTTCTACCCTATTCTTCCATTATTCATCCTTTTAAAGATTTTTAGTATTGAGCTTTCTTATTTTCAATGTTTATCTTTAATATATTTTTTGTACTGCAAAAATCAAAGACGATTATGATTAAAAAATCTTGACCTATTGTTGTTCACCGCAAGTGCACGGATCGTAGCAAGTAATATAATGAAAATAAAGTATCGTTCTTTTGAGAATTTATTCAAGAACAATGATCAAGCAAAAGATTAAGCAAATTCAATCAAGTTGAGTTACACATAATTAGGTAAAAATGATTTTTTTTATGAAGCTAATACTAAAAAATAAAGAAAGTGATTGATTCACAAACTTCAAACACAATTGAGACCTAGGATTATTTATCCCCCTTGCATTTCATAACACCAAAATTACCTCCTCTCATAAATTCTTTTAATGAAAATAAGTGCTAACCTAGGGTTCTAAAAATACTCGAACAAGCTCTCTGAAGTCATGAACAAGTGTTTAGTTAAATTAATTGCCCAATCTCTTGTTACAATTAATAAAACTCAATTTTAAACACCGACCCTAATGTGGTTATGCAAGGCTAGCAAGTATATCTCTATCTTACTAGCAAAACCATCCATTCAACATGCAAATATCAAGTTCTTGCACAATATTATCCAAATTCTACAGTCAACCTAGCCCTCTCAAGCATCAATTAAGTGAACCCAACATCTAAATGGTGGCCAATCATGTAGAGGCATTAAGGAAAGAGTAAAATAAACACACACACACACACACACACATATATATATATCATTAATCACAAAAAGAGAGGAGAAAGATAGTGTTAATTCATATAAGGGTTCCAAATAATCCTAGAACAAAGGGTTTAGCTACTCATAATCATCCACAATCTACAAATATATAAAATAAGTAGACACATTTCAAATTACAAGAGAGGAAAGGGAAGAGGAATGGAAAAATCGAAGAAAATGAGCTCCAAATGTCTTCAAAGCTTCAATCTCTTGATCCTAACTCTTTAATGCCCAAATCCTAGTATAACCAAGCTTCAAAAGTGTCTAAAAGTCTGAAGAATGCATTTTGGGTCGAGCTCTCAACTTATATGTATCCTAACCAACTAATCTTTAATAAATGAAACGCAGTTGACAGCGGCAAAAGTCAAAAACGAAAGTCACGACTTTGAGACGACTTTGGCAGTTTTGCATTGTTTTTACAGCTACCGAAAATCATTCATTTTGCTCTTGATTTCTTCATCCAAAAGCCTTCTAAAAAATTTACAAAGCTCCAGAAATGCTTCTAATCAAAACTTCAATCAAAATAACATGAAATTAGGCTAAAAATATCAAATTAAAGTCAAGAACACAAGCCCAAAACAAAATGCATATTTTCCTAATTTGGGCAATAAAAAATATATACAATTGAACCAAAATGGATTAGAATCTAAAGAAAATGTGATGAAATAACATGAACTTCTAAAGGTCAACACTTATTTATGAAAAATTTAAATTCCTCAATTTCAATTAATATCGTTAAAAATCCTCAAATGTTATTTTTCTGATAATTAACATATTAAAAAAAAATTCTCTGCATGTATATATGTGTTTATGACTTCAACTTACTATATAAGATATCTGCAACGTCTATAAAAATTATGGCACATCTGTGTATCTTGATCATTAGATTTCTGTTACTATTAAACACCACTAATTTACAGTGCTAATTATTCCCCCCAAGACTATACACTTCGGTCTTCTTTTGATTCCAGGCTTCAGTCATTATCTGAACTAAACATTAGATTTTCCAGACTTTTTTCTTGTAACCTTTCCCCCAGTTTTACTCTTCATTGTTACACACTCCACCAACACAAATGCGGCTGGCACGTTTTTCGGAATTATTAATTAATAATTAATGAATCAAAATAAGTCATGCATAGAATAGCCGAATGATTACTCCTTCCAAATCATAATATAAGCCGTTAATACAAAATATAGAATAGTAAATAGGTGTTCAATATTTTTTTTCAATTACACCATTATTTTATTAAGTAATTAATGAGAATGTATTAGAAAGTCAAATGTTATATTTATTGCTCTCAAGAGCATAATTTGAAAAATGTGAAATTTTTTTAGAAAATCAAAATGCTAACTAACTTTTTTGAAAAATGTAAATCAAAATGTTATATTTATTGCTCTCAAGAGCATAATTCTTGTTGCCTGATGCAAGAAATTTATTAATAATTAATTTTGAAATATTTTTGACCTTGAAGCTTGTTATAATTCCAAATTTTTTATTATGAAAAAAAGTGAACATGTATTTGATTTAAAGAAGCATACTGGTTTTTGCCTCAAACGGCAAGAAAGGACAAATTGATTGCGTGTTTTCTTAAAAGTGAAACGGTTGTTCCCGGCAAAATAAGATAAGATAAGGTAAGATAAGATAGGATGGTTGTTATATAGTGTTGTTAATCTTGAGAAATATTTAGATTGATCGAATGTATCATATTATTTATAATCTGTTTAATAAGAACATGACATTTAGATATTATTTAATATAAATTAATTCTGATATTAATGATAATAAAAAGAAAAAAAAAAAAAATTGAATGTGCATTCTGTTATAAAAATAAATCAATTAAAAAGTGTTACAAAAAATTTTATTAAATACTTGAAATATTTTAATTAAATAGATCACAAATGACATGATACACTTGATCTATTTAAATATTTTTTGGTTAACCTTAATGCTTCTTACTAAAGATGTCCCATAACGGGTCCACCCACCATTTGTTTACTATAATATAATTAGTTATTAGTTATTTATATAAACCCTGAAGGCCTAAATACAGATAATTAAAGGTCCAGCAAGACGCCAAAGTAAAGTGAAGGTTTGAAACTTAGAGTGAATTGGAGATTACTAGATGCTTCTGGATAAAAATTTGAAGAGGCCAGAAGCCTTGGATTGCAGAAACTGCAAACGAGATAAAGCCAATTTGCAGCTTTCACTCCATTCGCTCTGTTAGAATACGTATAACTTTAGCTTGTAGTTAGTCAAAATATAACAGCAATTGAAGAGAAATTTCAGACATTTGTCAAAATACGCAAAACAAAAGCACACCCCTGCTTTCCAATATGAAATTTTGAATTATTGCGGAGACAACAAAAGTGGAAGTAGGAACTTAGTTTTCATTTGAGGGCTCGAGGATAATACTTCCAAAACATTTTCTTCTGGAATCCAGATGCCACTAACCCGTCCCTTTTCAGTTGTCTTTCGTTTTTCTTCTTTTTCCTTCCACTTGTCAAGTCAAAGTAAGATTTTTTTAACCTATGGTGGAGAAAATCTACACTATGTAGAAGCTACTCATACAGATTTATTTTCTTTTCCCTTCTCTCTCTCTCTCTCTCTCTTTGTGCTTTCCGCACTACAATGTAGATACGAACAAAGCGGTTATGCTGCTGATTCAAAGGATTTAATATACATTAAGCAGCCTGGAGCATTGAACCTACTCACAGTGACTACTGTATGTAGCCCTCTAAAAAATAATTATAGTCAATTCCCAGCCTGCTTTTGGACTCATCACCAGCATCCTGTTTAACCCAAACCTGCGCAGTGCTTCTGACTGATCAGCATGAAGCAGTAGTAACAACAACGATAAAAAGGGCACTTCACTTGTACCGTTAGAATGAAGTTTCATTAATTTTTGCAGCATAAGTTTAACAAGTAGATGCCCTCTCCAACCTCACATTTTACAATAGAGTCTTCCTATGAAGGAGAAGTGATGTTACATTAAAAATGAACATTTAAGCATTTTCAACATGCAATTCATAATATGGAGAATCATCCAGCTTCTGATTGGTACCGTCATCACTACAAACTTGTATAATAAATCTGACACGGGAAATGACAGCAGGAATTTTGAGGTCAGCAACGTAGAAGCAATTCACTTGTGCAATTCCAAGGTACTCTGGCATTGGCACACGTTCTGTTTGTTCTGATAGTTTCTCGACATACACTTTGTAGTTAAGGAACACGTAATTATCACCATCTTTCAGGTTCCAGAGAAGTTTGAGACTAAGGGCCTTTGAACCCTCGGAATCTGATATCCATTTGATGTATTCACCACTAACTAGCCACGAAGTAGAGATGGGAAAATCTGAGTTATGAGCAGAAGTCTTGATTGTAATGTGACCAAGAACCGCAAAATAGTCCGTTGAAGAACCCACCCTGCTATCAGGGCCATATGATCTGGACTTAAGTCTTGGCATATTATACGGAGGCTCTGATCTGTAGCACACTGCATGGATTGCTGTCAACACGTACCCAGTCATGGTGATTGTGCCTTCATGTACAACCCATTGAGGGGAAAGTCCCCTGAGTTCATGCGTCGTGAGTGCTTTGTCGAATTTGCTTGAGAGCTGATTCATTTGCGGGGATGTAAGGAGTACTGAAGTTCTTTCGTTTGCAATGGAAGTGAACTCAAGCACAAGTCCCAATGAAGAATTGCTATCAGATTTCACCTGCATTAGTCGTAGGTTTCATGAGTGAACGAGATTAAAGAAAAGAGCCGGAATTGTCCAGTTGGGCAGTATAACAATGGGAGAATGACAGTTAAGGAACTTCTAAGAACATTAATCTCAATTTCGGACCGTGAAATTTTAAAATCCCAGGCAAGGACTATGGTCCTTAATTGTGATAAAAAAAATGTAATTTGTGAGGTGGGATTCACTAACGCGACTTGAGAATTTACTAACCCAACTTGAGAAAATTACTAACGTATATTGTGAAAACATGAAACCCTACTTGGAAATGGAATTTTTAACAAAAAGTGCCACTTGGGAATTCACTAACTAAACTTGAAAAAAATTCTAACGTATATTGTGAAAAAATGAAACCCTACTTGAGAATTATTAATAAAAAGTGACTTGTCCAAATTGATGTTTTTTATTAAACAATCGATTCCCAAATGGAGTTTCATGTTTTCACAATATACGTTAGAAATTTTTTCAAGTCGAGTTAGTGAATTATCAAGTAGCGCTTTTTGTTAAACAATTGATTTCCAAGTAGGGTTTCATGTTTTTACAATATACGTTACAAATTTTCTCAAGTTGGGTTAGTGAATTCCCAAGTGGCAATAATGAATTCCACCTTACAAACTACATTTTTTTTTATCACAATTAAGAACCATGGTCCTTAACTGGGATTTCAAAATTTCACAGTCTGTAATTGGAATTAATATTCTTAGAAGGTCCTTAATTGTCATTCTCCCTGTAACAATTGGCCAAGCAAAATACGCCCCATTTCCTTTTTCCTGATTGTGTAGCCTTGAGTTTACAAATGACAAATATATGCTATACTTTTCACAAAGAGAAAGCTTACAGAATATAATATGTGGATAGGTGACTCCCCCACAGGAAACTGCCCCTGAAAAATTCTCTTCTGGAAATAAGTTTGTCCCTCGAGAGATCCTTTAAATGTAATGTCCCCCCCTCCACTATAGGATGCTTCCTTAAAGCTGCAAGTTCCAAGAAAGAAAGCAAATGATTGACATCTTTTCATAATTAATTTTGGAAAACTATTCACTATGTAGATGAAAAAAAAAACAGAAAAGCAATGTTGTGATAAAGTCATTAGAAAAGAAAGAAAGAAAGAAGTGTGAATATGAGAGAAGACTCTGCACCACTATCAGCTTAGCCATCAAACATCAAACTCCTAATCTTGCCAATAAAGATGTTCTAGAGGATGACCCCATAATTAAAGGCATGATTTAAAATAGAACAGTTTTTTTTCATCATCAGGCGACAAAAACAGTTCTTTGCAATTGAACAAGGATTACCTATCCTGAAACATCCTCATATAATCTAAATATCAGAGTGAGTCAGTCAATTATGTCTTCTGTTTGAGTACATTGTTTTTGAACATATGAATTATATGACATACATTCTGCGTTGTTAATCAATTAAAAAAATTAGTAGAAGGAAATTCTGATATGTACTTACTCAACAAAGGCTTGAATAGAAGCATTTGGAGTGACACCAGCAAACTCAAGGAACGGCTGCACACATATATGTAACAGAATATAAACAAACTTTGAACAAGGACCACTTGTATCAAAGAAGGAATTACAGATTAGAAGGCATGGCATTGGTGTATAGTTGCAATTGAAGGAAAAAAGTAAAACCATCCATTGCACAAGAAAAGAAGGATCTGTGATGAACATGAGGACCTGGAATAAGACTGGGAAGTGTCTATCAAAGATCACAAATATTTTACTTGTTACTGCAGATTAGCTTTATTAAATTGATATTACTGGATGTCAGAAATGACAAACAAGCAATTAATGAATGGTGTATGTATGTATACGCAACCATCCATATGGTACTTATTTGAGCACATACCTGTAAACCTTGAGAAGAAATGTTGCACCAAGCAGCATCATACACTGTGTCTCCGTCAATTGAAATATGATAACCACGTCCCTGAAAGTAACAAAGAATGTCCACCATTTGAAAGATTCACAAGAATCTAATCTAGAGTGTTTTTCCTCAACCCAAAGGTTTAGTAAGCAGAACAGAAATAGCAACCATGAAATATCTCAAG